TGTGATGAGATAGGAGGAAGACAAGTCAATACCCTAAGCTAAATGATACAACTTGTGTATTACTGCTGAATGACAAGTTTATCATGCACAGATATAGGACTATACTCATGACTGTGGACAAAAGGGTTTAAAGAACATGACTGTGTAGCCAAGAATAAAACCTTTGGAAACAACCGTCATACCACTCTCAGCAAGTGCAACAGAGCTTTTGGAAAATAACATCACAATAACTATGGACAATAACTGTACACATAACATTAGTTTCTCTGAAATCCTCAGGGCTACAATTTATTCTCAGTGTGAAAGGGGAGCATGTTTATTAAAGACACTGTGTTCTATAGGCACAAACTGTGGAAGAGTGGTGAAATGAGACTTTTAAAGGACAATAGGATCAATAAAGAACCCAATCACCTATGGGTGCTATGTCTAATTTTGAAGATGTAAGTCATCAGAATACTATTTCTAAATTCAGTTAGTATATTTTGTTCCAAAAAGGAGAAGTGGTACAAAAACATTTACAGGAGTTTAAAAGAGTCGTTGGTTCTGCCTGAACTAGATTTTTAAGCAATATCATGTTGGAGTCCATATTATATGGCTGGAGAGGTGGGCCTGTGAGAACCTCACGAAGTTCAACAAGGCCAAGTGCAAGGTCCTGCACGTGGGTCGGGGCAATCCCAAGCACAAGTACAGGCTGGGCGGAGAATGGGTTGAGAGCAGCCCTGAGGAAAAGGACTTGGGAGTGCTGGTGGATGAGAAGCTCAACATGAGCCGGCAATGTGCGCTGGCAGCCCAGAAAGCCAAACATATCCTGGGCTGTATCAAAAGGAGTGTGGCCAGCAGGTCGAGGGAAGTGATTCTGCCCCTCTACTCAGCTCTCGTGAGACCCCACCTAGAATACTGCATTCAGCTCTGGAGTCTCTAACACAAGAAGGACATGGAGCTGCTGGAGTGAGTCCAGAGGAGGGCCACAAAGATGATTCGAGGGCTGGAGCACCTCTGCTATGAAGACAGGCTGAGAGAGTTGGGGCTGTTCAGCCTGGAGAAGAGAAGGTTCCGGGGTGATCTTATTGCAGCCTTCCAGTACCTAAAGGGGGCCTATAGGAAAGCTGGAGAGGGACATTTTACAAGGGCGTGTAGTGATAGGACAAGGGGCAATGGATTTAAACTAAAGAGGGCAGATTTAGGTTAGATATAAGAAAGAAATTCTTTAGATTGA